TAATCATGGCTTTTTTGTGTGTGTATGACCTAACCGTATTTATAGTGGTCCCTTTTGTGGACTTTCCTTAATAAAAAATTATACTTCATGCATACAGTTCTGGGTGAGGAAATAATGTGTTATTTAACTTTCACATTTTATCATTTAGAAAAAGGATGATTTCTAACTATTTCAAAGATTTAATAAAAATAAAACCATCAACAATCTTCTAGTGTCAGATTATTTAATAAGTATGGAAAATACTTGCTTTGATTGTAGCTAAGTATGTTTTTGTTTCAAATACGGGCTTAGGCGGTGTATTACTTTCACCTTATTTTTAGAAGATTGTCAGTTTTGTTGTTTCTGTAACTATGGAGACAATGTAAGTAAGCTATTACCTTCTATTGCCCAGTTGTTGGAGTAAAACCCTTTAGGAATTCCCATTATGTCCAGCTGTTCGGGTAGAATATCTTCAGAAATAAGTACATTGGAATGATACCATGTAGTATCCATTAGGACATTTATCACTTCTGGAGTAATACTGACCTTGGAGGCTTTCTTATGCTGACAGCTCCATTTGATTTAATTTCAAGGGATACTCAAAGTTGTTGAAGTCTAAAACTTGTCTTAGTGGGACAGTTGTTCCATCTGAAATGACTTGTTTTAATCATACAGCTTCATAATGCCAGATGAGTAATTAAAAAAAACCCACAATCATGAGAGTGCCTTAGGGGGACTGACTTGCATAGGAAACAAACCTGTGCATATTCTTAAAAAAATAGCACTATTGTTGGTTGGTGTATCTAGCTCTCTAACCATGAGGCAATAAGGAGGTGATTCTGTACAATCGTAAAACATTTTTAATGGTGTTACCATTTTTTTAAAAGACAGCATGTGCTATATTACATTCCCATACAAAGCACCCACCCCTACAAGCATGTATAAGCCCCAGCTCTGGGTATGGGAAAAGTTCTTAACAGTTCAATATTATAAACTAGAAGATTTACTCAGCATTGACCGGGTCCTTCGGGTGTTGGGGGTGCAGGAGACAGGGCAGGGACATGGGAGTGTAGGGGGCTCAGGGAAGGAGGCTGGGAGTGTGTGGGGGGGTGTAGCAGTCAGGGTGGGGGGTTGAGGAGGGACTCAGGGCAGGGGCCTAGAGATGTGGGGGGGATGAGAAGGAGGGCTGAGAAGGGGCACAGGGCATAGATGGGGATACAGGAGTCAGGGTGCGGCGTGAGGAGGGGCTCGGGGGAGGGGATTGGGAGGAGAAGGAGCTCAAGGGAGTGGGAGCAGGGTTCAGAGCGGGTGGTGGGGCCTACACAGGGGGGTTGAGGAGGGACTCAGGGCAGGGGCCTAGAGATGTGGGGGGGATGAGAAGGAGGGCTGAGAAGGGGCACAGGGCATAGATGGGGATACAGGAGTCAGGGTGCGGCGTGAGGAGGGGCTCGGGGGAGGGGATTGGGAGGAGAAGGAGCTCAAGGGAGTGGGAGCAGGGTTCAGAGCGGGTGGTGGGGCCTACACACCACTGTCTGGCAGGGCCTTCTCTTCCACCGCACAACCCCCTTTCAGGGGGACCTTTTCTTCTGCCCCTTCATTGTTTGGTGGGGCCTTTTCCCCTGCCATCCCCCCGATCATCTGGTGGGGCTTTCTCTGTACCCCTTATCTGGCACTGTGTCCAGGGGCCGGGGGAAGGGTTTGAGCAGGGAGCTACTTACCCAGTCCAGTGGACAGCAAGATGGTGAGTACCAACCCCAGCAGGCCACTCTCTTAGTGGTGTGGCTGGCCCCAGTGGTTACTCTGCCGTATTGCTGTCCCTCCGATTAGCCCCTCTCCCTCTCCATGTATGGAAAACAATCCCATTCCAAGCAGATCCTGTTTTCCTGGCACAACCAAATAATGACCTTGCTTTAAGTTAGTAGAAGAGGAAGCTGCATACCAAGTTGGGTAGTCCTAAATCTTACCGTTTAGGAGGAGTTCTTGAACAAATGGACTCACAGACAGATGGACAAACAGACAGAGACAGATATACATTTCTAAAATGTATAGATAGATTTGAGAGGGAGACTGATCCTGCAGTTTAGGCATTGGTTTGGGACACAGAACAAATCTATTCAAATCCCTGCTGTGCCACAGATGTCCTTTATGGCCTTGAGCACTTAAGGCTCTAATTGGGTCCATCTGTACTTGCCACAGTACAGAGCGGGTGGGTCTTAATTTCTCTGTCCTACACAACAGTGCTCTGATCTTATTTTTGATCTGTACAAATAGTAGACACACAAGGTGGGCAAGGTAATAACTTTTATTGGAGCAACTTCTGTTGTGAGAGAGACGTTTTTGTGCTAACACAGAGCTCTTCTTCAGGCCTGGGACCATCATGGCTACCACACTGCATGCATATAATAAACAGTAATAAGACATTGAAATAAAAAATGTTATCTAAAACTATTAAGGTTGATAATACTGTGGTGTAGTTACCTAACATATAATTTACAAAACTGATGCACTTAAAGCCAGGGAAACAGTCAAGCGTAGCCTAAAACTTACACTGTCCATTTAATAAAGGCATTATTCTTATAAAAGGGAAATGTTCCTCATCACAATAGAAAAAGCTTAACTTGGGTTATAAGGATTTTAATATATTATTTTTATCTTGAAATTGGTATCTAAATATTTTTAGATACTATAAATTTCAGAACATATCAGGTAAGATATTTATCAATTGTAGCACAATTTTTTCAGTTAATATTTATAATGAGTATTTCTTGAGAAATGCTAGAGAGATGATTCAAACAAGAAATACAGATAATAATAATGCCAATGATTTGACATGTCCTGCGTGAACTAGCATTTGAATTTAAGCTGCATCATTAATGTATGTACATATTATTAATTTATTTTCATTTAATTGGTTTTATAAGTGACTTGATAGGTAACTTTGTATAATATTTAGCAACCTGATCAGGTCATTGAGCTGAAATTTTATGTTTCGGAATATATTGGGTTGTTGTGTTTTGGTTTGGTTTGGTTTTTTTGGTAGAACATAAAGACCCAGTGTTGTCAATTTTAAGTAAGTTGGATAGATGATTCACCAGATAATTAAGTTCAAGAAGTGAGCTGCATTGGCCACACTAATATTAACTCTTGCACCACCCTGTGTCATTCAGACACACTTGTCAAGATACACTGTTTCACTAGTTAAGGTAGCCATGCATATGCAGCACATTCTGATTCCTGGTTTAAAGCGCTAAACAATATAGCAGCTTACGTGTCAGAGCTACTTCATGTCATGCTGCCACTAATACCAAACAGTACTCAGCTTTTCCATACTGAGACTCCCTTTTACATTCCAAAACTTCCTGAGGTTCTGGTCTGCTCCTCATTCTTAGAAGAGGAGCATTCATGAGAAGGGCAGGAAGGGGTGTGATACCCAGACCAAGGCGAGAACCCCCTGTAGTACTAAGTTATAGTCAGGAGTGTAATTTTAAGGGAGTGAAAGAGACAGTTCCACTTCAACTTTGAGCTTGGGGAGGAAATGACACTACACTTCTTACAGCCAATTTTCAGTCCTGGTTGGAGGGGGAGAGCAGGAGAAAGAGGGAGCAGTCTGAGGCTGTTGCTTAGTGAAGCTCAGAAATGTCCCTCTACCATATCAGCTGGGTGAAGAGGCATCTGCAACCTCTTTTCCCCAGAGGTCATTCTGTCCCTGCTGGTTCTGGAGAAGAAACTGAGTTGCACTTAGCAGCAGCTCTTCCTCTATAAAGGAGGTTCTGGCATGATAGGTGACCTGGAACTGTAGCTGAGGTGTTTTGGGTTGGGGATTCATGGTCCAGGGGCTATTTGGGGAGGGGAGCTGTATGGGAGCAGTATCAGGAGGAAAGGGTACAGCCTTAATGAATGTTCTGAGCTGAGGGGAGCCCTTAGGGAGGGGACTTGTAGGGAGAAACAACCCAATGTCAGTCTTAGGAGAAGGATCCGGGCTTAAAGGAATACCATGGGGAAGGGGAGTTCTAAGTAGGACATAACCTCAGAGGAGACACTGGAGGCAGGAGGAGGACACACAGACTCAGAGAGAGCCTTGAGAAGGGAGACTAAGCTGGGAGACAGGTTGGGGGAGTATTGGGTATGTGGGGAGCAGGTTTGGGAGTGGGTGTTCAGC